GGAGCATTTGGTATTTTGTGGTAGTGTTATCCGAAATTAAAAAGAATCCGGTAAGAGTTGGATCTATCCGTATAGAATCAGTTCATCAGCTAAAGGTGTTGGTGGTCCAACACTGGTGCATGGATCGAATCCCTAATTGGATCGATCCTAGATAAGAGGCTTCTCAAGTTCAGTTCTCAGGAAACCATACCTTCCACTGTTCTCATATGTTTCTAATTTTATTGTTCCATCTATGGTGTTCCAATCTATTGATTAATATCGATTAGTTCATTGTAACTTCAGGATTCATCCAACGGTTCATCGACATATCAAATAGAAATGCTCAAGTACATCAAAGCGACATACCCTTCAATTGAAGTAGTGGCAGGAAATGGTAGGTAACAAACTGGTTATTGATTGATGGGAAGATCACAGTTTTCATATTCTATCTCCATTATTTTGGCCTCTTCATCGCATAATCATTTATTCTGCTTTCTCGGTTATATTTATGTATTCCTATCAATTTGTAGAGGGACGATACCGAAATTTCCCGATTTTTCTGAAATATATTCGATAATTCTGTTGACAGGAGAGAATCATAGACGATTTCTTGAAATTACTTTTCCACACTTTTTCTCAGTTGTATTTTTACAGAAGTTCTCACTTTTTATTTCAGTGGTTACTCGTGCTCAAGCCAAATTGCTCATCGATGCTGGAGCTGATGCTTTACGGGTTGGCATGGGTAGCGGATCGATTTGTATCACCCAAGACAGTAAGTTCATTGGTAATATCCAGAAGTTTTGTAGGGACATGAGACACGTCGGAGGATTGACTTATTCAGCCATATAGAACAGCGGAACCCCGCTCTTACAGGGAGGGGACTTGGGGATCGCGTTTGTTAGTTTACGGTTGTTGTCTTCTTTGATGGTCCATAAAGTGAAAAAGATTTTTCAGTGGCTAGCTTGAAGGTACCCTGGCGAACAGCCTTCTTGGCTTCTCATTTCAGAAGTTCTGATAAATTTACTTCAATCCAAACCAGCTCATTTTAGTTATGGCAGTAGGAAGAGCCCAGGGATCTGCAGTATATGCTGTTTCGTCGTATGCAAGGACTCGTGGTATACCGGTGCTGGCAGACGGTGGAATTCGTGACGTCGGCTACATCACAAAGGCGGTAGCACTGGGCGCTAGTGCTGTGATGATGGGTGGTCTGTTGGCTGCCACTACTGAAGTAAGTTCTTGAGAACCTTTAATCTGTGTAGGCCCTCTGCCCTATGGATATGCATGGGGTAGAAGGTGTCTGTTACACGAATTTACAATTCCCTAAAATCAATTTTGGTTCTCCCTATAATACGTGATATTCCAGGCTCCCGGTGAGTACTTCTGGGGTCCAGGCGGTGTCCGTGTGAAGAAATACCGTGGAATGGGCTCATTGGACGCAATGGAAGCGCACGCCTCCAGCCAGGACCGCTATTTCACTTCGTATGTGCTAGTTCTGATGATCCTATGCATCGTACTACACCCTATTGATTGATGTCTGATTCAGGGATTCGGATCAAATCAAGGTAGCGCAAGGTGTTTCGGCAACGATGAAGGATCGTGGTTCATGTCATAAGTTCCTACCGTACCTCGTACGTGGAGTTCAGCATGGCTTCCAAGATATTGGAGTACGATCATTGGAAGAATTACAGTAAGTCTTCTTGTTAGTACAGTAATCCAAAAACCTGCTCGCAAACTAGACACTGTTCATGCGATTGTTTGCTTACCCACTCGATGGGTCACTGAAGTATCATAAGAAGGACCACTTATTACGGATTCACATACTTACCGTAATCCTTTTATTGTTGCGTACTGGTGCTGGAATCGCAGAATATCGTAAAATGACAAGTTTAGTTTGCGTAGTATGAAGTAATGACGTGTTTACGGTACGATTTCTGTTCTTTCTAAATTTCTAATTCTCAGACAACTTCATTTCAGTGAAAAAGTGAATGCGGGTATAATTCGATTCGAGAAACGCTCTCCAAACGCACAACTGGAAGGCGGTGTGCACTCGCTTCACTCGTACGTTTTCCTCATTTTTCACTACACAATAAAGAAAGTGGGGAACTCCCATTTCGCACGTCCGACGAAACTAGTTCACTTCGCCCGCTTCGCGCGCGGCGCATCCCACTGCGATCTGAAGATGACATTACAGTACCACTAAGTGTCAGTGGACCGAACGATTCGCACTAGTCCATCTTATCTTTACTTTAAGCTGACTGCCATTGACCGAGCGCAATTTGTATGCCCGCTGACAACTGCGACGTTTGTCAAAGATTGCGCGCAACACGCCGCGTGCGACGGCTGCGGCGTGACCTAGTTTCGACGGACGCGCGGAACGAAGCGCACCTTTAAAATGCAATGCCGCTTTACCGATATCGAACATAATAGATTTTTCTGCTGTTTGATTTTGGCTTTAAACTGATCCTATGTATATGTCCTTCCATTTGTAGCCGTGATGTTCAACCCAGAGGTCCAGAATGTTCATATCAGGTATAATTTGCTGCTGATTTTGGGTTTTCGGTATATTCGTTATAAGTTCTTATTACGTATCAATCATGAGTAACTGTGGCAGTTACCATGAGTGGGCAAGGGTTTTTCCAAAGAAATCATTCCTGGCAGATAGACACTGGACCTTATCCTAGCAGTTTCTGTAAGTTACCTCTTTTCGCTATCGCCCAGTCAGATTTAGACGACTAGAAACCCGCATGGTCAACTAGATACTAATCCCCTGCGTCCCTGACTAGATAACTTATCCTTAACGTTACAGCGTTGACCAGTATAGCCTAGCCAGCTGGTCAAGCAGCCGTCATCCGTCATCAGTCCCTTCAATGGGTAGGGTATTCGTCGTTAGATGATCGATTGTCGCACCCATCACTTTTTTCCTAACTGAACACTTCTCTCTCTCACCTTCTACTCCCTTTACTCTGCGTCTCTGTCCTCTCTGTGGGTATCCAGGTTTACAGGAGGGTCCTACCACGAAAACATACTGGCACGTTCCTCATCTATCTATTTAACTCACTAAATAATACTGAAGCTTTCGTTGCATGTTTCTGCTCTCAGATTGTGTGCAAGAGTACGTGAATGTGATTGTTTCTTAGCACACATATCGTGGGGTTACTGTAACATTTTGGTGGGTGGACTTTTCTCTCTGGTGATGTCGTAATGAGAAAGTTTCAGGTTTGAGAAGCGCCTCTACTAGACGGCCGTCTGCTGTCCTTCGATTCAATTCAGTCGCCTAATGAAGCGAGGTTGTTGATTTGTTCTTTCATGATTTGTGTTAGATTTCACTCGATCAATAACCACTGTGGCAACTCGTCCACGTTGTGACGGTACCGTGGGGGAAGGAAGCGTCGCTAAGGGGCGGGGTTTCTCACGGCTGCAAAAGGGTTATCGATTACTAATGTTGTTGGTATCTTTCCTTTCTCCGTGTTTTTTCAAACTGTTGTTGTTATTACTGGTTCTTGGAATAGTGGTGACGTGAATATTCAATGAAATACTGCCATATGTCGATTTTACACATTTTTTCCCAAATGTGAGACATCCATTATCACAAGTTTACAATGTTATTAGATTGTTATAGATATGATTGACTTATCGATTGATTGTAAGCGGGAGATTTCTTTATCGCTTTCACCGGATTTCTGATGATAAAAGTTCTATCATTTCAGAGTCTTTTTTTCGGTTACTAATGTCTATAAAACTGATTTTTGTTATTCTGAAGGCAATTAATTCAAATTTCCGCGCGCGGGAAAATAATTTAAGCGCGACATGTGTGGCGTGATGCAGCTCCGTCGACGATAGGGAAGAAGAGCACGCGTAATCGATAAGAAGGCGTGACCCGCAACGAGACAACTAGACAATTAAGACTCGCTCTCTATGCCATCAAATCGGGTCTACCATCACATGCCCTGAATTCTTCTCTGAGCATGGGTTGACGGTTCTTTCTTGGAATTCTACAAGCTTATTTCCATATGTGCTCTTCCTCAGCCGAACCAAGGTCCAATACTCACTGGTTTCCATAAAAGAAAAGACAGCCATTGGGGTTGCAAAGGATTTTCTGCCTTAACTCTTGTCAGGAATCACAAACGAAAGATAATCTGACCTCCATATTTGCAGGGAAATGAGGGATGTTTCAGATTGCTTCGATGTTCGCTCTTTGACTTTGGACCTAATCACCTCATTTCGAATAAGATTCACAATTTTCATTTTTGCTACTACGCACATTCATCCGGCAAAACTGACTAGTTGACCCGAATATGGCAGATCGCTCCGCCTACATAGATCAATAATCGCGGCTATTATGACGATGCTATGCATTTACGTGGAATAAGATGGGTAGGATTGACAAGCTGTAGGGTTTCATCTATTCTTCATTGTTAGTATTGATAACTGGAATAAAAACAATATTTTATCTAGACAAACAACATATAAGACATAGGTAAAACAACAAAGTACCGGTAATGAGTTAATGTCATTAAAGAGAAACATACATGATTTATATTCAAACAAAGAAAGCGACATAAATCAATATGGAAACAATAAATGAACGAGTTCACAGTTGATCTTACATATGTACGTATTCAGAGGTGCATTCCTACAGACTACTGAATGGGGCCTATCTAAGGTCAATATGGGCACAATGGGAGGGCTACCATGGTGGATATTAATCAAGCTCAAATATCCTTAAATATTAAAGTACATTATTCAAAAGCTCATAGTCCATTGCAGTCTGAAGGCAGTCAATAGGTCATCATCATCTGCACTGAACAACTCGTCCATATCGCTCAAAACTCCCACTATTATGTAATAACTCGTACGAGAAAAAAGCAAATAAAAAATCCCGTCTGTTATTGACATCCTTTCGGATGGGAAGAATGAAAAGCACAAATCATGAGCGAATCCGTCCAAGGTTACGGTGCCCGAGTCAGCTCGTAATTGTCGTATCCGCTATGACACACAGACATAACTCGTCCCGTTGGCGGTGAGTATTTCAGAGAGCTGAACCATCTAATCGTTCAAGTTCATCACCGTTCTTTGCCTGCGATTCAAATCGAGTCGAGCACGCATCTCGGATCTGAAAAATACAGTAAATCAGAGTTTTGCCCTAGTCACCCAAAAGGGTAAGTTGCAGTATCCGGAAGAATTGGCTGAGTTTGAATCAGTCATGAAAATTAGCCAGACCTTTGGTTTAACCCCCTGATGGTGATTAACAAGTGCCTTCCCTTTATATACCCACAGCTTCATGTTAGCAGGGGAGCAAAAGTTTCAGACGGCGTGTTGCGCGGCGAGACAACTAGCCAAGAATCGCCGCGCGTCGTGGGCAGATCTAGGCTACCACTATATACCACCTATATAAGGCACATGTCTGGTTTTTCCTGTCTTCTACATGATTTACAAGATATTTCTGTCTACAAGGTTTAATATATTGTGCTCGGATGGAAGTCTCTGTTGGAACCCTGCGAGTCAGAATGCTGGTTCCTTCGATCCCATGACCTTCAATAATCAATGGTCTCACAGTTCGCACACCCCTCAGTAGATTTCCGCGATGTAGCTGCTCTCTGCTGTCTGAAGGAAACGAAAGCCTTTCACGGCACTCTTTCTGCACGTCTCTCTTCCCCGGAGGTTCGTTTTGGATGTACCAGTAAGAAACAAATTGTATTAGGAGCCTTTTGAATTGTCAAAATGTAATAAACTCACGGCGACTTTAGCTGCTTTGCTACCCGTGATGTAGGAGCTGGCTGAATCCCCAGAAGTCACGTAGCACGGTCGGAAGGACAGGAACATATGATGTAGAGCATTACGGAACGATTCATTCACCAACGCATACGTTATCGGATTCACACATGC